CTAATGTATCGAGGGATTGAGAATCGAAGTCCAGCCTCAAAGTAAACTCATAGAAGTAAGCCTCATGTAAAAAAGAGGAATTAACAGTCTCATTATCAGAAGGGACTTGCAAGTGCACCGAGACATGGATTGAATATTGAACCCTCAGCTCTACAAGAGAGCTTTTGCTCAAGCAGCTATGGAAGTTCTTAGCCCCAGTGATTCTTAGGGTTGAATACCCAATCTCTTGGATTGATTTGGAGTCCTCGTTAGCCGCATCCACTTAAGCTACAAGCGCCAAGACGTTCTCAAAAAGAGATTGGTCAAAGTCAATTTCCATAAATGGGAAGCTACGATAATTGATGTACAAATTTGGGAGTAAAGAGTGATTGAGTCTTCTAACCACTAGATAAAGACAAAATTCAAGCACAAAAGTAAGCCAAGCACAAGTAGACTTACTCACAAAAAACCCTAAAGACTCTAGGTTGAAATTCTTCCACCTCAAAAAAATAGAAACGATAGAAGTGAAATTGAAATTCGTGCTCCAACCTATATGCTCTAGAGCAAAGAGTCATACCAAAAAAAAGATTAGGGCAAAGAGGTGAGAATGTACCAGAGTTCCGGTTGCTCTCGATGTCTCGCTAAAGAAGAAGGAGAAAAGCTCTTATAGGATGGACCCATAACGGCTCTTTGGCGATTGAGTATGAGAAACAGATGCAACAGAAAAATGTAATCAATGAACTCCATATGCCCTCCACTGGTTTGAGCTAAGGGCAACTGATGGATGTTAATTTGGCTAGCACATGTACGCTAAAGCACATGAGGAGGCACTATAGCGACCCGATCCATATTGTAACAATATTGTCCGCTTTGGGCCTTGGCCTGCAACAATTTTGTTTCTCTCGACTTTTGACATCACCTAGAAAAGGCCTTATTACAATTAAAGATATTGGGTTTACATATAAAACACTTCACCTTGACTTGACCAGGCGATGTGGGATTGCACTATGGCCTTCTAACACCAAATCCCATGATTTCCACAAGCACAAGGGCCATGGGATATGCAATCTGGTGAGATATACTTGGTCGATTCTAACTACATCGTCACCCAACCCCATGATAATAGCTCAAACTAGCTCTAGCAATGGAAGGGAGGTTCCACTTTATAGGACGCCACATTTGAAAAGTAGCTTAGGGATCTCCAACAGTAAAAAAGCTGAAAGCCTATACAGGAGAGGGATAAGCTAGGAATCAGGTAAGTAATTCTTCCCAGCTCAATTTCAATTAACCTCTTTCAGCCTTAACTAAGTTAATCATCGGAGGGTCGATCTTCGGAGCCCCTTTGGTCATTGACTTCCTTGCAAAAACTTGATGGGAATCACAGAGTTATCAAACAAACCACTAGGACTGCTTTTAGGATCAACAATTCCTACCAAGGATTGGTGATGATTGTATTATATATTTTTCTAATTCATGTCATATTTTGTTAAAATTTAGAAAATTCAACACCGAATCATTTATAATCTTGTGCAAGTAATCGGTGTTTTTGTTGAATTTCATAAACAATCGTACTTATCTAATCAGATTTTGTCCACTCATTTGTTGTTTGGGTTTAACTGGTCAACACACTTGTGACCTAATTCTATTAAATTCATGCCTTTTTTTTATGAACACATAAATATATACATATTTTAAAGGAACTCAAGCGACATATATAAAGTCATGCACTTTTAAGGCGAGAGATCCACCCTAAACACTTTTTAGGCCTAAGGTTCATATAATACATAATTGAAAAAAATACAGTTTATTTAAAAATTCCATCATATCTCACCACCACCACCCACCCACCCTTTCCCCCACTGACAGTGAACTACCAAACAGTGATTTTAAGAAGATAATGAATTCAATGATAGTGAACTTAAGATAGTGAACCAAAAAACTCAATATATTTTGATATATATTGTAGATGGAAGAAAGTTGAATTTTTTCACTGTCTTTTAGTTAATTATAGTGTAAATGTGGATAACAACAATTACATTATCTTCTTCCTTGTCAACAATTACATGGTCCACATTACACAGGTGAGTTTTGTCTATCCCTGAGTGTTTCTCTTATCTTTACATGTGCAAACAGAAAACGAGAGTAGTGTGACTCACATCGGAAAAATAGTGAAGAGATAATATTATGAATTTTAGGTAAAAACCTATAAAAAAATTAATAGTTATATTTTTTTGAAATTTGAGATAAAGTTTATTAAAAATATTAAAATTGTGAATGTTTGATCAATAATAATTATATTTTCTCAGATTTTTGAATTAGTATGTTACAGTAGTTATAGCGTGACTTTTGTTGTATAAAAGTTTGATTTTATATTTTTTTTCATACAGGTTGAACAATATCAATTTGATCGTTGTATTATTGAAATTGTATTATACATTATCTTTATTTGTAAAAAAATATTTACAATTGTTTACGGGTAACGTAATGCCTTTAATCACGAATAATTACTAGTATATATATATATATATATATATATATATATATATATACCAACTAAAAGCTAACAAATCCTTCAAGTTGTATCCAGCCATTTTATGGAAACATCTGCGTAATTTATCTCAACAAAGAATACCAAAAACTATCGTCCACTACCACCGTAATTTTGGATCCATACCCAACACACCAATACCAAGTCGATTCCTCCGTGGTAATCGACCACTTTCTTTGCCCGTTATTTTGATATCTAAGCCTGACAGATCTCCGTTATATGTGTTGACTAATTCAAGCATAAAAGTGCTCCGTCACCGGAACTTCAATCGTCGCCGACGAGACAAAAACTGCTTGAAAAGCTACTTGATATGATTGCAATTTAGGGTTTTTTATTTTTGATGAAGAGCGAAAAGCTAGGAAATGTGAATGCTAAACCGAGACATTTTCATAATAAATGCTCGCGGGTCTGTTACTCGACCAGAAAAATTAGGTCCAATATTCTATAAGTCCGATAGATGATCCGTTTGAACCCGAACCTAAAATTTTTCAAAAAAAGTTTTGAATCTACCCACAAGTCCATTACTTGGCCCAATAGCCCTCCGGCAAAAAGCAAGGACCTACCTAGCCTAGCCTAAGTACCACACCTGCCCTTTCTTTTAAAAAAAAGTTAGACACGTTAAAGTTAAAATTTTGAAAAAGTTTGATAGGTATGTGAAAAAAAATTAGTTGCACAAGATATTTATAATTAGTTATAAATTTATTGTAATAAAAATAAATTTTTTACTATTATATTAGATAATGTAACAAGTAATAGTGAGATTGTAAATTATTTAAAAATGTTATTTAACTTTATCATATAAAGGTATTTTTTTTTTCGTATGAGATGCATGAGTCATATCATAATCTCAAACTACAAAGTGATTTCCATAATATTAAATTTTTAATTGATAAAATTAGGCTTAGTATTTATTATATAATAAGTTCTGAAAGAAGACTTGTGACATTTGGACAAATATGTAAAAAAAATATTTTAAAATATAAAAAATATCATATGATGTACAACATAGGTGGAACTTTATCTATAAAATATTAAATTTGACAGTTAAATATAAAACATTAAAACTGCCTTAAATGAAATTGTATAAAAAAAAATTCGCCCGCAAGCCAACCCAATAAACCCAAGGCCCACCCAACTGACTCAATTGTAAGCCAGCCCAATAGGCCTGTCTAGTTAGTAACAAGTTGGCCTGCGAGTAATTTACTCTTACTCGAAACTCGACCGATAATTCACCCGAATAACGACTTAAACCTACGTAATCCAGGTCCAGCCTAAAAATATTTTTGTGGACCAAATCTGACTCGACCCACAGACACCCCTAACTTAGACCTCTCACCTTAAAAATTCAACTGAATTAGATGTCACACTTTAAAAAGTATAAACTGCACTTATTTACAAAGTACCAACTTTATAATTTTTAATAATTTTCTCTATTTTAGAATCTACACCCTTTGTAAGAGTGACAATCGGGTTGAAACGTATTTGTATTTCTGTTGTGTCATTTCAAATTTATGTCAAGTACTAATTAGTTATAATTCAACTCATTTAATTAATCGTATCGTGTTGATTGATTTATTTTCGTATTGTGTTTATATTGACCCATTTAACCTGAAAATAAAAAATTTAACGTTCAATCTAAAATTTCATTAACATATAATAGAATTTATACTCAAATTTTTTTTATAAATTAAAAAATAACTTAATAAATATAATAATAAAAATAAGTAAACTTTTTTTTATACAATAATTAAATCACTACTTAATAAAATATAATAAAACATTAACACTTTATTATTGTAATATTAATTAAATGTGTTAATCGTATTTAATTTCATATTATTGGTATTTAACACTAACTTAATCCAATATTAATATTAACGAACCAGGTTGTTGTGAGAGAAATAATGAACCATATCCCGCTAATTTGTATCCGTGCAATGCTACAGAGAACTCATTTGGAGAATTTATTTGGGGATTTAATAATGTGACTTAAATACAATCATTAGATTAATTGTGAATTCTAATGTTAAATGAAATCCACAACCAATCTAATTGTATTAAAAAAAGTCTCTAAATTAGTCCCTAAATTAAATTCAAATAACATTTTTCTTTGTATCCATCGAGTAATAATTTTGTAATGTGTCAAAAATTTAACTCTTTTTAACCTCCGGTCGTCGGCAAGCACATGGTCCCCAGGCTTAACAACTTTGAGACGGAATACCAGCAATCAAAGGTCTTTATCCATTCCTCTTGGTTTGGATATGCCCTTCTGCTGGGGTTCAGGTTTTGTCAAGCACGATTCAGCTAAAGTTCCTGAGCAAAATTGAGTGCTGGCCGCCAGAATTGTGGTGAATACTTATACGAGTTGGCAACTGTTTCTTTTTGAGGTCTTTTGAAAACAAAGAAAATGAAAGAGAGATGAAATAACTTGGCAGAACAAAAAAAAATTACATCTAGCAAAACCATCAACTCTTTTTACATACACACCCTACTTGCCGGGACGGCTGTCCTCCGACTGGGTGCCACTGGTGGTTACTCTGCCAACATCTTGGTCCCTGGCTTCGCGCTTTTTCTTGGCGTATAAGGTGAAGTAGCCGACAGTGGCGACGATGAGAACACCGCCGAGAGCCATGGTCTTAGGGCTGTAGGGTAATCTTCTTCTCATACCACCAAGCTTATTGTGCCCTGATGGCCCCTTGGACTCCTCCACTCCTGCTCTTTTCACTTCTTCTGGACTCATTTTATGTGCGTCTGCGTTCTTCCTCCAATCTTCATCTCCTCTCTTTCTCCACCCTCTTATATTGATTAATCTCTCTCTTACAGTCTTACTGTGTGTCTATGTGTGAGAAACTTCTTGACCGACTAAGAATTGTGGTGGGTTGCCACGTTTGTTGTGAAAATTCATGGACTCAACAAGTGGCAGATGTTCGAATTACTCGTGAAAAGTGTGTTTTTACGAGATAACTTTCATAGGACGCATGATTACATGCGGGCCTAATTGACTAAGATGAGACCCAAACTAAAATAGAGTTAACTAGGTGTTATTGTTTATATGTTATTAAGGATAATTTGTATCGGAATATACGGTGCAATGTGAATGATATTGAGAATGACGTTAATGATCATTTGATGAATTTATTTGAAATTGTTAAATAAATTTATTAAAATTTATCTTATTTTATATTTTAATCATAAAAAATGGATGTATCACATACTAAAAGGCTGATTTGGTTTAGGAGAAATGGTACAAGATTTTTACCGTTCTGACACTTCAAAAGATAAATAAAATGTCTTTTGTTGTTCGCGATTAAGATAGTTTTAAATTTTACTTTAAAATTAATCTGACGGTTAATATTAACACCCTAAATTTAATAGAAAAAATATACCTCTAAGAATGTGTTTGGGGTAACGTTTTTAAAAATGTTTATAAGAATTATAATTTTTTTATAAGTATTTAAAAACAAAAAATAGTGTTTGGAACTGCCCCACTACCCCCATAGCCTCACCACCATCACCACTACCACCACCACCACTACCACCACCACCACCACCGTCATCCCACCATCACCACAACACCCACCGCCCCACCACTGCTAACGCCACCTTACCACCACCCCTATTGCCCTACCACTATCACCACCCCACCACCACCATCCCCACTACCCCACCACCACCATCCCCATTACCCCCCCACCATTCCCACCACTACTGCCGTCACCTTATCACTACCCGTCATTATACCACCATCATCCCTACTACCACCACCCATACCGCCCTACCGCCACTATCACAATTACCCCCCCACGGCTGCCACTATCACAACTGATCGTCGTCACCCATCACAACCATCACCATCTTCCACCACCACAATTGTCGTCCATCACCATTACCACTGCTCGCCTTAAATTGGTTTTTCTTTCCTCTATTTTTGTAATTTAATTTTAGGTGCGAATACAAATATGTTTATTGTTAATCATTTTTTTTAATTACTACGTGCTTTCAGGCACGAGAAATAACTAGTCATTAAATATAATATAAATAGCCAAAAAATCTAAGTTGATGATGCACAAATCAGTATAGCGCAAGATCAACAGTCAAAAATATAAACAGAGCCAATCAATGAGCAATAAACAGACAATTAATGGTAAAGCAGTAGATAAAGAGCTAACACAGGGATTTATAGTGGTTCGGTTCGGGTAACCTACTCCACTCTCGCAACGGTGGCCTGAGTCTTTTATTAATTGGTGAAATCGCCGGAGAGAGTATTCTCCAGGAACATTACAGTGATTAGAGGGAGAGAGAGTGTATATATAAGGGGAGGTGTGGAGGTTTCAGAGGCATGCCCTAAATGTTGAGTGGGTGTACATTATATAGTTAGGGTAAGGCGGTGACGTGAGTGAGAGGTCTTTCCGCAATTTTGGGAAGTGAGCAATCATGGTAAGTTTAGATCTTCATCCCGACATTCTCTCTCTCATGTTCCTATTCAATCGGAAGGAGACCTTGAGTTGGATTGGGCTTAATCCTGTCCTTGAACTTGAATCAGAGTAGGCTTGGGCTTGCGTTGGAGTCAAGAGGACATCGGAGGACTAGGGCAGCCTTGGGCTGCGCCTGGCTTGGGGGACCCCTGGGTGGCGCCCAAAGTTCTTGGGAGTTTGCCTCTTGTGCGTTGGGTTCTTGGACGTCGGCCTCTTGGGCATTGACCTCTTGGACGTTCACCTCTTGATGCCTTCTTAAATTTCCTCCTAATGGATTAGCCCAGCTTCCCTTGGGCTTTGTCTTGGGTCCTGAGTACTTGGGCTTCGTGGTTTATTTTAATTGAGCACAATAAAATTTGGGGTAATCATTTGCCCCCTATGCCTTGAGCCTCTGACTTTTTTTGAGAGGAAGGGATCGAGGGCATGTGCTTCGTTTGATCTGGGTGAGTCAGAATTTTTCTTGCTTCCCACGATATCTTTTCATCAGGGACACACTGAACTTTAGGATATTGAGATTTGTTTTTTTTGGCTTCCTTCCTTGGGCGTTGGCCCTTTACCTTCACTTTTTTTTTTCTTTGGCTTGCTGACTCCTTTCTTTCTTTCTTTTTTTTTTCTTTTCTTCTTTCTTCTTTCTTCTTGGTCTTCCTGGGCGCCACCCTCCTTGGCGCTAGCCCCTTGGCTTTCTTTTCTTTTCTTTTTTTTCTTCCTTGACTTGCTGACTCCCTGTTTTCTCTCTTTTTTTCTTTCTTTCTTCCTTGACTTGTCTGGGCGCCGCCCTCTGGTCTCTACCCCTTTCTCTTTTTTTTTTCTTTCTTCTTGGCTATCCTGGGCACTGACTCCTTCCTTGCCNCCGGAGAGAGTATTCTCCAGGAACATTACAGTGATTAGAGGGAGAGAGATTGTATATATAAGGGGAGGTGTGGAGGTTTCAGAGGCATGCCCTAAATGTTGAGTGGGTGTACATTATATAGTTAGGGTAAGGCGGTGACGTGAGTGAGAGGTCTTTCCGCAATTTTGGGAAGTGAGCAATCATGGTAAGTTTAGATCTTCATCCCGACATTCTCTCTCTNTCGGAGAGAGTATTCTCCAGGAACATTACAGTGATTAGAGGGAGAGAGAGTGTATATATAAGGGGAGGTGTGGAGGTTTCAGAGGCATGCCCTAAATGTTGAGTGGGTGTACATTATATAGTTAGGGTAAGGCGGTGACGTGAGTGAGAGGTCTTTCCGCAATTTTGGGAAGTGAGCAATCATGGTAAGTTTAGATCTTCATCCCGACATTCTCTCTCTCATGTTCCTATTCAATCGGAAGGAGACCTTGAGTTGGATTGGGCTTAATCCTGTCCTTGAACTTGAATCAGAGTAGGCTTGGGCTTGCGTTGGAGTCAAGAGGACATCGGAGGACTAGGGCAGCCTTGGGCTGCGCCTGGCTTGGGGGACCCCTGGGTGGCGCCCAAAGTTCTTGGGAGTTTGCCTCTTGTGCGTTGGGTTCTTGGACGTCGGCCTCTTGGGCATTGACCTCTTGGACGTTCACCTCTTGATGCCTTCTTAAATTTCCTCCTAATGGATTAGCCCAGCTTCCCTTGGGCTTTGTCTTGGGTCCTGAGTACTTGGGCTTCGTGGTTTATTTTAATTGAGCACAATAAAATTTGGGGTAATCATTTGCCCCCTATGCCTTGAGCCTCTGACTTTTTTTGAGAGGAAGGGATCGAGGGCATGTGCTTCGTTTGATCTGGGTGAGTCAGAATTTTTCTTGCTTCCCACGATATCTTTTCATCAGGGACACACTGAACTTTAGGATATTGAGATTTGTTTTTTTTGGCTTCCTTCCTTGGGCGTTGGCCCTTTACCTTCACTTTTTTTTTTCTTTGGCTTGCTGACTCCTTTCTTTCTTTTTTTTTTTTTTCTTTTCTTCTTTCTTCTTTCTTCTTGGTCTTCCTGGGCGCCACCCTCCTTGGCGCTAGCCCCTTGGCTTTCTTTTCTTTTTNGCTTAATCCTGTCCTTGAACTTGAATCAGAGTAGGCTTGGGCTTGCGTTGGAGTCAAGAGGACATCGGAGGACTAGGGCAGCCTTGGGCTGCGCCTGGCTTGGGGGACCCCTGGGTGGCGCCCAAAGTTCTTGGGAGTTTGCCTCTTGTGCGTTGGGTTCTTGGACGTCGGCCTCTTGGGCATTGACCTCTTGGACGTTCACCTCTTGATGCCTTCTTAAATTTCCTCCTAATGGATTAGCCCAGCTTTCCTTGGGCTTTGTCTTGGGTCCTGAGTACTTGGGCTTCGTGGTTTATTTTAATTGAGCACAATAAAATTTGGGGTAATCATTTGCCCCCTATGCCTTGAGCCTCTGACTTTTTTTGAGAGGAAGGGATCGAGGGCATGTGCTTCGTTTGATCTGGGTGAGTCAGAATTTTTCTTGCTTCCCACGATATCTTTTCATCAGGGACACACTGAACTTTAGGATATTGAGATTTGTTTTTTTTGGCTTCCTTCCTTGGGCGTTGGCCCTTTACCTTCACTTTTTTTTTTCTTTGGCTTGCTGACTCCTTTCTTTCTTTCTTTTTTTTTTCTTTTCTTCTTTCTTCTTTCTTCTTGGTCTTCCTGGGCGCCACCCTCCTTGGCGCTAGCCCCTTGGCTTTCTTTTCTTTTTTTTTTTTCTTCCTTGACTTGCTGACTCCCTGTTTTCTCTCTTTTTTTCTTTCTTTCTTCCTTGACTTGTCTGGGCGCCGCCCTCTGGTCTCTACCCCTTTCTCTTTTTTTTTTCTTTCTTCTTGGCTATCCTGGGCACTGACTCCTTCCTTGCCCTTTTTTTTTTTTTTTTTTTTTTTTTTTTTTTTTTGGC